AGTGTTCAGATGTCATCCTCACCACTTGGCGCTTCATTGGGGTCCATACGGGACTTCCCTCTTCTCCCCCTCTCCAGTGCACAGTGGGTCAGAGGACCTGAAAAAGTGGCCAAAATTAATAAACTCGTCTAATCTTTTTCAAACACGATCCCTATAGGTTTTTGGGACGACTATGAATCTGTATATCGAGAACTGCAAATTCAAAATGGTGGATCCAATATAGTGACTGAACTTATAGGTTTTTTTTAAAACTTTTTATCGATTGCGTTCTTGAAATTTGATACTTAAATTGTATCGATATGCGCGTAACATGGAACTTTCTGTACGTACGTATTCCAGTGGCCATTACAAGCCGTGAACCGTTGGTTAAAAACGAACCAATTAAAACGAGATCCGAAGAGGATCATCCGCATTACGTGTCGTTGTAACGTACGCGACGAGTGATTCATCGATTGTCCCCCGTGGAAATTGATCGTTAAAATTCGGATTTCGTTTCGTAATCGGGGGAAACGGTATTGCAGCGGGGTCGAGCGTTAAAAAAAAATGTTTTCTTTGGCCTACGACGCCCCACTTCTGTCGTAGTGTGAACACAATTCAGCGTTACATTCAACAAGCAAACAATCGACTGCCACTCGAGCTACGAACCGGAATCACGGAGGCGGTGGGGGTTGATTCTGCGACGACAAACATTCGTGTGTTAATTTTATTTGAACGAAGAATTGGACGAGTTTTGTAGGTGTTGATAGCAGAAGCGGAGTAGGGGGGCAGCAGACGGGAAGATGGAAAGATAAACACAACAGAGCGTGCAGCCGGTGCGCGCGCGGTTCTCACGCGGCGGCCATTCCGCGTTGCGTGTAATGTATGCACTTGCGTAAGTGCACACAGCCGTTGCACCCGACTCCGGCGGCCGTGCAAATCTCGTTGTCACGCGGTAATCCGCAGGTAAACGGCTTCCTCGCGAGACTTACCGCGATTGACGAGAAATAAGGTAAAGAATAAACAAAAAAAAACTCGTGGAATTTTCATTCTGTACGGTTACCATTGACGGCGATAAAGGTGAGTTATACACACACGAAGGTGAAACCGCTACATTCCCTTTCTCCGAAACGGAAACACACAATACGGTAAATCATCGATGAGTGTTCGAAGGCTCCTCGGCACTGGCAAGGAGAGGTGTCTATGTGTAACGCTGACTTTTTACTAGGGTTTAGCAGAGTGATAGAGCTTGAAATTCTGAAGCCACTGGTATACTTGTTTCAACCGCGTATGGCCATTCGTTTTATGAAATATTTAATGCTCAGTGAGCCTTCGAACACTCATCGCTGATTTACTGTATGTACTCAAATCGAATTTTACGCGGTCCAAATTGTCCTCGATATCTTACAAATTTTTCACGCCAAACACACGATAAATCGATTCTCGAGGATCTCATGCTTGGCCGTTAATCTCCGCGATAAACATTCTTATCAGCGACGCGCGTGTATGTGTCACTGACACGTGGCACTGACTCTCGGGCGGGATTAAAAAACAGCCGCGGAAAATCCGGCCGATCATTGTGCGGCGGATGAGACCGGCGACTCGCCCCTGGGACATAATATTCGTTCCAAATGAAAAAAGAAAAAAAAAGAAAAAGAAAGGCGTTCCCGGCCGGCTCGCGAATTCGTTCCGACGTGTCAAAAATCTAATACGCCAGACGGTATTACCGGGGACAAAGCTTCGGGGCGAGACGTTGTCCTATATTTTTCGGGCTGCTACTATGGGGCTGCGAGTGCATTTGCGATGCTGGAAATATTTCCTTCACTCGCCTCCGGCTGGTCTTGCAAAATTAAAAATTGCTTAACGAATATTCCTATAGTCTCCGTCACTTAACAATTTGATTGTGAACAATTCGATTGTGGTACATAATATAATGGGCTAGTATTCTCCAGTAAATTTTTTCTCTTGGACAAACGTCCGAGACCATCGGTCTTTCAGACTTGGTCAAGCTTCGAGATCGAACAGACAGAATTGAATATTCCCAGGGACTAAATATTGAATTGAATCGTACCAGTTCACGTCTCTCTGCGAATTCCAAGCTTCCGGTACCACTTAAGCCCAAGTCTATGCCAGAGAGCAGCAGCTATTTTCAGGGGCGCTTTCACCGACCGTTGGAGTTTCCGCGTGTGTTCGGTCACGAGTTACGACACAACTTCAACCGGCAGTTTCGGGAACTCGGGCGCCGATTTCGCGCGTATTTTCGGGACATCTCGGGACCGCGCGCGCGTAAGTACGGTCCTCCGTTGCCTCTGGAATATCAACGAAGGTACCGGAAGCTCAACAAGCCTCGCGACCACGACGACAGTTCACCCAAATTAACTTTTTTATAAACATAAAACTACAATAGTATCTACGCATGTTCAGAAATATAAAAAAAATCACAAATTTGTGTCGTGCTTTTTTTTCGGAATTCGTGACTCGTCGCGCACGGAATGTCTTTTGTCGAGGGGATGGTGGGCACACACGGTTTGTCGGAGGTCACGCGTAGATCCACGCACGCCGCGCATTCTGGTTACCGCAGGACGGTCCTCGTCAGCTTCCTTCACCCTCTGGGAAAATTATGCATTCAAAGCGGGTATGTTAAACGCGTGGCCCAGAATGCAACGATCTCCCCTCCTCCACTCCCTACTTTTTCTGCTGCCTCCCGCGAACATGGAAATTTCATTGACGATTAATGTTTTGGAAGCCTTCGAACACTCATCGAGAATTTCCTGTATTATATTAGTGAAAATTAAGCTATAGGTAATCAATTCTGAATTACTCTCACGAAGTAATCTCACGAATTACAGTTTTGGCTACCGAAACGGGAGTACCATTTACAATTTAATGGTCTCACAAGAACAGAATATCGTGCCCGTCGACTTTACGTGGTTCGAGAATTCGAGGGATGATATACACTCGACAAGATTGTCGAGTTTTCGTGATTTCATTGATTTCATAAGTAGGTATTCTGTACCTTCGGGTAACGTGCTTCGGAAGGAACGAGCTTTCTCATTTTCTCTCTCTTTTTTCCGATTCTTCGTTGAAATTATTAAGTGAATTCGACGAGCCGCGGGCGGTGGAATTCAAGGAACGGACAGGCAAAAAGATCGCCGACAATGGCAAACACCCCGTGGTAGCGCAAAGTTCCACTCGACGGAGACCGGGGCGGGGGCAGAGATGGGAAAAGGGACGACGGGGCACCGGGGGTATTTGTTTAAGTTCTGGTATTCTTATTGGCACTTTCGACCTGGATTTCTGGGCCGCGGGGGGAGGAGAAGAAATCGATGTCAGTGGTGCAGGGCCGCTGCTAATCGACGTTAACGGAATTTGTTAGTACGAAAAGGAAGCACCGTGTGCTGAGCCAGCTTCTTGGCCCTAACCGCTGTAAGAAACCGTGTAAATCATTCGACAAACGTAACTCGAACGGGAATAGTTTAATCCCAAGGAATTACCAAACCGACAGACAGCAGATTTTTTTTTTACGATTATTGAAATTATCGTAGTGCTTTCGACGGAATTTATATTTGTGTTTAATTTACTATATTACTACGTATCGTACAATTTATTCTAGTATACATTCAACGCTGGTAGTTCTAGCGTTAAGAAAGAAACCGAGCGAAAAATTTTAAAACAGTTCAAATAACCGAACCAAAGGGAAATTCAATAATACCAGTCCGTAGGAATAATTACAAATAAACTCACCGAAACGAGAGAGTAAACCTGCGGAACCCCCTCCGGAGACGAAAACGTTTAATATTCATTTTATATCCCTGCATAACGATCAATTCCTGGCGCTTCTATTCAAATGTTTCGCTCTTAGATTAGTTTTAGGTTCTCCCGTTAAAACAAAGTTGAGAGTAGGTATATCGAGCGGTAATTCCATACAGCAAGCAAGACAATTCTACCGTACGGCGAGAAGAGTAGTATGGTGGAGTGGGTAGAGGGGAGAGACGAGGGAAATCCCCGCGATAAGTGGAAACGGACAGTGTTAGCCAGACAGAGGGTCGAATCCCTTTAGGAGGCTGCGAAATTCCGAGCTCGTTGCGTCACGCGAATTCGTTAGCGAACTTCTCCCTCCGTCTTGTAGATGTGTGTGTACGCGTATCAAGCTTCCTCTCTGTACACCTACGCGTGTGTAAGGGGGGTGGTAATCGAAACGCGCAATAAAAGAGCGACGAAACGACAAATTAATTAAACTCTTCTGCTCGTTTTAGATTTTAATGCCGCGACTACAGAGGCGTTGCGTGCGATAACTGGGCAACACGACGCGCTTTTGCCACGCGTTCGTACGTTTGTTCGTTGCGCGAGCTACAGCGGAAACTGATGAAATTAATTAACGCCCGAAGGAAAAAGGAAGGACGGCCGAGAGAACGAGCGTTAATCAGAACCCCAACCACCCTTCCCTTCCCCCCCGCGAGACGCCATTTTCTCGACCGAGAAATGGAATTAGAAGGGATACGGACGCTTAACGTCTCTGCCGGTTGGCCGATCAAAAAGATATATTACGGGTTCGGTACCGTTGGAATACTGAAATAAGTCGATTTCTGGTTTTATTTTGGACAACTTTCGGACTAAGTGGTTTACCTTTAGAATTCGTGGTTAAGGGAAGAGTGGGTTATCAAGGACACTTAAGTGAAACAGATAAACAATACAATGTCCCGATTATTGTCCATGTCCCTAATACTGAATAAGAAATGTTTAATAATATTATTTTTGAGACTGAGACTATTTTTAGGTTAAACAACACGTGAAACGATTGAATGAAGTTATGCTACAACAAGTAATTGGGACATCTACCCAATAATCAATGAAACGTAATCAAATTTTCAGACAGGTTATAATATTTCTCAATTAATTTTCGACATGGTTTGTTAACGAATACACCGAAATGCTCGGAACTACCCCACGTATATCATCCCCGAATTCGTGCAGACGACACACACGTTTCGTCTAATATCTTCCTTTTGCTCGATCTGTTCCAGGGGACGCACATCGACTGCTGAGCGGCAAGAGACGATAAATCAGCTGGTATGTCAAATAATCAGCTGGTTGACTCCTGTCTGTAAGTGTCTTTCTCTCCTCGAGCTCTCGCGAGACTCGTAACCGATTAACTACTCTATAAACATACCTTTTCTCTTCCCTCTCGAGCAAACGAATTAACAAACGCGTGGTTAATACTTTTTCAACGTGTACTAAACACCTTTCTCTCTTTCTGCGATTAACAAACACGAAAGCTTAGCACTCGTCCGATTGGCAATACAGAAAATCACTTCCGATTCTATTCTATTCGTTGTCGCTTGGATCCGTTCGTAACCTGAGCCCAGTCGAACCTCCTCACTGGGGGACAGGCTCTTGACGACACGGTGTTCGACCGCGTGAAAAAGACAGTTACAACGATTCGTTGTTTCGCGGCCAGCCCCGGTCGTATGTATAATATTTAGATCAGCGCCAACTAATAACGCCCGCCCTGAAATTGTTGAATGTCAGGCTGGTGAACCGCCGGATCGAGAAGAGACAGGAGCACAACATTACGCGCACCGAGATCACGCAGAGGTGACTAACATGTCCTAACTAACGAGGTTAGTCATTCTGAATGCGAGTGTACAAATGATAGTCGTTCACAGATCATCTCTTTGAGCAGCCCCCCCCCCCCCCCCCCACCTCAACCTGTTTCATCACACTGATCATCTTCAGCGAGATTCATTCAGCTGTGTTGCCGATCCCCTAACTGGTGAATCCTCGATTCGGACGAAATATGTTCATCACTTCCGATACCGATGGATGTGTCAGCTAATTTAATGATAGAGTAAACGCGCACCAATGAATGAACACTTAAGAGCTTTTATATTTATTAAAGTCGAATTTTAAATGACATTAATATTAATAAATATATATTGGGCGCATGAAAATTAGATTTTTTAATATCTATATCTGTTCATAACGTATAGATTTCAATTTGAATAATTGGAAGGATAGTCCCCTATAGATAGATCCCGCGAAATACATCACCCATCGATATATCATTATCACTCAAGTCTCATTAGTCAAAGGAACGTACACGTGACTCAGAATGAGTAACTTCAGCCGCACTAACAACGTGTGTGTATGTGTGTATTTGTTTGTGTCGCATGTTTGATGAGAGTAGTGTCCACGTGTGTAACATGGACACAAGTAGTTTAGCGCAATTAGAAGTATTTCTGGACGCTTTTGTAGGCCATGCGCCTCCGTAACGTTTCGTTGTGTGTGTGTGTGTGTGTGTGTTTGTTTTTTTTTGTTTTCTTCTCTTAGGACTCGCCCTGATCATTGCCACATCGTATTCCTTTTTTCTAAGTAATAATCGATCGTTTAAAAGCAGCAGGTGGTTCATCCTCGTTCTGTTTTTGTCGTTTCAGACGCGTTCTCCAGGAAAAAGGTCCCGACATGCCGCAATACACGTAAGTCATCATCCCCGGGCCGAAATCGAACAGAAATTCGCCGATTTACGTATTAACTCGGAGATACCACCGTGGAACGCCGCCGGTAATTGTTCACATTATTGCGGTCGTTTTCCAGCGGACAGAGTGATGCAGATTACCACGGAAGTAACGGCCAGGCGGACACCCATTCGTTGCATTCGTCTCACTTGTCTGTCCAGGAGGATCCGTTGCTCATCCGGAGCCATAAGCAACAGACTAATCAACAAGTGAGCCCAGTTTACCCAGAAAATCGAATTATCCACCCCTTCAAAAATTTTCTCTGTCGCGATCTTTCGCGTCGTTACACGGAGGGGAATGGTGAAATCTCAATCGAACGATCGGCTCTTCCACTTTAACCGAGACCACGTCACCACGGACCGAGACACTCCGCTCGTTAAATACGAGAATGTTAATTATTTAATCGATACCCATTCATTGTCAGTATAAACGGTTTAAACGAGTTCCAACTTAATCCGCTAACTGCATTTCCCTACTACAGTAGACGCTCTACTTTATCGCTTTAACGACAATATCTGGAACATCTACGAAACTTCTCTAAATGATATTCAAACATTAGAAAAACGGTGACCATCAACTTTTCCCAAGAGAATACACCGATTTTCAACCCGCAAAGAGGGGTCGTCCTCTTTCATCAGTCGTGATGGATTCGTGTGGTTTCAGGTGACAAGCGTGTCGAAGGTGGTGCGCGAGGTGTCACACATGGAGCCAGACCCGGGGGCGGTCAGCTACATGTCGGTGCCGTTGATGTCGCAGGACTACCAGCACGCGGATCCACGGTATCCGACCGACGCGTACATGGTCGGGTTCGAGCATTACGAGCCGTATCTCGGTTATCCACCGCAGCCAGGTTATCCGGGTCCCCATGGCATCTACATGCCGCGCTCGCATTCACCCCACAGCCCTCACAGTCCTTCGGAGCACAGTCGGGCCTCACCTCCGCATGGTAAGTTGTCATGATTACAGATTCCGACGATGTACAGTAAATCCTCGATGAGTATTCGAAGGCTCCCCCGGCACTGAACATTAAATATTTCACAAACTAGTGGCCATTGTATCTATTCTTGAGAAAACGAACTCGATGTACTCCTACTATGTTGTCCGATCACATCGAGTTTCGTGCGTGTAACACTAATCTTTTTCTTTCGACTTTCTTCTTTCAAGAATACCTGCGTAAAGCGGCGCCGTACGTGGAGGGTGGTTACAACGACATCGATCCAGGTCTGAATCCAGCTCTGCAGGATCACTATCGTATCACACCTAGTCCAGGCGGTCCCGGAGATCAATATGGTACGTTTCGATATATACCCGGAGTGCGATATTACCAAATGCAAAAATAAATTTGACAAAGAAAAACAAACAAAACAAAACAAACAATCACTTTTGATGTTACGTCGTTCGATTTTTCCGTGGCCAAGAGGGGTGGTCACAGAGCAACGTTGACATTCCCCGGCCCAGAGAGCTCCCCTATAATGAGACATTCAGCCTATCCATGGTCCAAGCGCGACGACGGCACCGACCGGCTATTTGTCTGCTCGTGGTCACGGGTCCGGAGCATAATTCACTTTAATTATCTCCTATGCCTGACGTTCGTTGTTATTTTGTGTTCTCTCTAGATCAAATCAGCAACTCTTGGAATATGGATGACTCTGGCGAACCCTCTCAGCATCCTCATGGTAGGGTCACATCAATAATTTATTTAACAAATTTTATTTTCTCTCACTTTCTCTCTTTCTCTCTCACGCTCGCACTTCTTTCGTTTCCCTGTCTTGTTTCTCACTACACTGCTCTCTCGTTAAGGCTTCGTATCGTTGACCCTCGTTCAGCGGACGTTTCGTCTCATTCCCGTCCATATTCGATGGGTGATATACGAGTGATTTATGCGTTTCACGCGATATCATAGGCAAGAGCCAGGTATCAACACAGAACCCTGTTTCAGTTCAGATCTAGTCTTCAGCGATGATGGTTTCCATTGGTCCTCGCAACAATAACAAGCTTGGAGCAATCTTCCGTGGCGAAGTATATTAAAAACACAAGCATTTGCAGCTAGTAGGAAGAATAGTCTCGGCATACTCAGTCCAATTAATAAAGATCCTCGAATCTTCTGTACTATCTTCCGCTTAACACCCAGCGTGTGCATATTCTTTTCCCGTATATTCTTCTGGTACCACTAACAACACGAATTTAACACAGCACATAGGTAACACACGGTTTTTCCCCACATTTTGGGGCTTACGGTTCCTGGATTTTCCGGATTCTGGTGGTCATCTAGCTCCAAATAGATTGTTGTAAACGTGCCCCCGTGTGACCTGGATTGTCTTAATCTGATCGCAGATGAGAGCAAAGTGCCCTACGGCTACGTGTCACCGTCCCCATACGGACCAGTCGGTTATGGGCCAGGCGTTGGGGTGGGCCCAGTCGCAGTTCCTAGCGATGTGCCCGGCTACGACGAGGGCCATCCGGTGGTCCCGTTGTCGTCGGGCGTACCGCCAGGGATGTTCGAGGACGAGGTTCACCTGCAACGGTTGCAATCGCGACACCCGGTGGTCCCTGGTATGGCCAGCCCGTTGGACGACGATCAGAAGTCGATGAGATGGCGTGATCCGAATCTGTCCGAGGTGATCGGTTTTCTGAGCAATCCGAACAACATCATCAAGGCGAACGCGGCCGCGTATCTGCAGCATCTTTGCTACATGGACGACCCGAACAAGCAGAAGACGCGAAGCCTGGGCGGTATACCGCCGTTGGTGCAGCTACTCGATCACGATAATCCCGATGTCTACAGGAACGCGTGCGGCGCGTTGAGAAATCTGTCGTACGGGAGACAGAACGACGAGAATAAAAGGGCCATCAAAAATGCTGGAGGAGTGCCGGCTTTGATCAACTTGCTACGCAGGACATCCGATGCCGACGTGAAAGAACTGGTCACTGGGGTGCTGTGGAACCTGTCGTCTTGCGAGGTTAGGGAACACGTTTGTTCGAATTATAAGGATACAGTGATTCACAAATTCGTTCGCGGAACATTGTTGCGTTTATTTCAACCGGGTTACGTACGAAATTAGGAATCGTATTTCAAAATTTATGATGAAATTCTTCACGACAGCTTGGACAAAAGTAATCACGAGGATACGTAAGGTCAATGTCCCTACTCCTACTTGTGTAAAAAATTTATTAGATATAAAATTTAAACCTCCTTTTATAACTAAATTTAAAGCAAAGTATTTTTAAAAACATTTCAACTTAATAATAGTTCATTTAATATGAAGTATAAAATATCCCTATTTCTGCTCAGCGAAAATGGAAGTGTCAAAACCAAGCTTTGGCAAGCAATATTAAAGATTCTGTAAGTTCTCGGTGTTCAAATCGGGACGTGATTAGAAACAGGGACATTGACTTTAAATGGAAACTGCATAAAGATTTGTACACATAATTGTAATGTGGATGGTTATACGAACGAATTACGTGAACCACTGTATTCTTCATCGTCCGTTGCGCTCTTTGGCCATCGCATGTGTCAATTCAACCGTTCCGTGTGTCGTGTGCTTTTAGGATCTAAAGAAGTCGATCATCGACGACGGCGTGACGATGGTGGTGAACAACATAATCATACCGCACAGTGGCTGGGACCCGAGCTCGTCCAGCGGCGAGACATGCTGGTCGACCGTGTTCAGAAACGCTTCCGGGGTGCTACGAAACGTCTCGAGCGCCGGCGAATACGCGCGGAAAAAGCTCCGCGAATGCGACGGTCTGGTGGACGCGTTGCTCTACGTGGTACGGTCGGCCATCGAGAAGTCGAATATCGGCAACAAAATCGTCGAGAACTGCGTTTGCATACTCCGTAATCTGAGCTACCGTTGCCAGGAGGTGGAGGATCCGAATTACGACAAGCATCCGATCCAGTCGACGGTACAGAACAGGGTGGCAGCACCCGCGAAAGGTGAGAGCCCTTAATTCACTCTTTCTCTTTGCTTTCCCTGTGCATTCTGGGAATGATAAAAACATACGTAATACACCCTTTTTGCCGTGGTGAGACACACAACACGGGTTTCCTCAGTGGGCATGCGGTGACACGCATGCAGCCGAATTGTGTGTGTACGTGTGTGTGTATGTGTGTGAGTCTGTGGATGATAAGCAGTTTATACCTTCGCCCTTGGGGGAGGGGGGCGATAAGATAAGACAGGAAACGTGTACCGCCATTAAGTCTCCAAGCAACGGGTACAATTTCGAGATAGTTATGGTTGAGAAAAGAATATGTTAAATGTTCAACCGTACAACGTTCCCCCGTTTACTTGATGTAGACCGAATTTTTTTCAGTTCACTGTCATTTATCCCTCTTAAATTTAAGTAGGCTCGGTAGTTAGCCTCATAGAGGTAGGTTTTACAGTTCAGAGTGTATAACTGGATTGTGATCAGCAACGAGGGGATGATACTTGCATATATGTAATTAATTGAATATATGTAATAACAACGCTTGGGCAGTGTAACGTTGTTTTGAACGATAAACATTCGTATTATTGACAATGGTGTTTTTCCATACGTTTTTTTTGGTTGTGAAATGTGCAAAGTAGTAGTTAGTACTTGTAGATAGCTCCGCCCCCGTACACCGAATCTATCGAAATGTATCTACACACCTGTGTGTCCACTTAATAAGTTCTCGTTTGTATATGCTTACGTTTGTCTGAACTTGTGTCGTTTTGAGATCGCTTGAACGTTCGATGGACAGTAACTAGGTTTGGTTTTTATGGTTGAATTGAAAAACATCTCTTTCACAGATACAACAAGATGTCTTTTTGAAACAATGATCCTCCCAAGCACGTGACGGTTAGAGCAAAGATCCGCCCCCCCCCCCACATGGACTTTTGTGTTACCCTTAATTTGTTTTTTTCGAGGTATCGAGCGTCGTTATTGTTTCAAAATTTGTTCCTCCTGCGACTCTGTCCTGATTTGTTCGTTCAAGTTGATATCGATGATTTTGTCCGGTACATTTCAAGTTCTTTTTTTTTTTCGAAACAAAAAATAAAAAAATAAAAGGTATACAACAGTTTTGGAAAAGAAACAGAAAAGTTATGTCCTTTCTAGTTTCGCATGGATTAAAGTGTGTTTCAATCTTTTTAGCGTACAGTTTATGTCAAGGTAAGACATTCTTGTAATTCCATCGCTAATTTATTTAGTTCCTTTTCTTTTTTATACGAATTTAATTAGTCGATGCATGCTACGCTTTTCGACGGTTATTCGTCGGTTTTTACCGGGAACACGCCGATAATCCGACGCTGATAGAAATCGTTACTTTTACCCGAACTCAGAGGAACACGTTACATATCAGTTCTTTATCACCGCAAAACAAGTCACGTCATCGGTCCCCTTATCATTGTTCTAATATTGGTTCTCTTGTAAACACGTCAATTTTTATCTGCAACAAAAAAAAAAAATGAAACTTGTTACATTACACGTACAATCTAGTCACTGCATTTCTATATGTTACTTGAACAAATAGATAGTTGTAGATATCCTGGAGGATTCTAATGTAGCAAAGCTTTAGCATCGATTCAATTGGTTCGTACTCGAATAGTGCATCCTTAGTGCGTTTAATATATGCCTGCCATGATCCTTCTTCAATGTAATAATACTCTGCTAACAGTTCGCCGACACCGAACGTAGTCTGAATAGTTCAGAAATGAACCATCTACGAGAGCATATAGTGATCTATCCAATTCAAAATTAGACCAGTTCTTGAAACTTCGTACAATTATAAGAAAAATTTTCAGACTTTCCCGACTCGTGTCCCAGCTGATAGCTTTAGTTTCTTTTGACTGCATGCTGTATGTAATTGTTCATGGCCAGATGTGTATTTTGATTCATTACTTGTTTGAAATCGATTCACCGAATCGAGCTCGCGTTAAAGGAAACACACACGCAGTATACAAACGATGTGCGCTCCGCGCAATTTTCACTAGCACTGTTCAGAGTGGACCAGCTTCGGAAATTAACGCGTGGCCACGAATCACTCTGTCCTAGGTGAGAACTTGGGTTGCTTTGGGGGTAGCAAGAAGAAGAAGGATGGTCAGCCAGTACAGAAGGAGACCACAGCCTCGCGTACAACCAGTCCCAGAACGGAACCGGTCAGGGGCATGGAGCTGCTCTGGCAACCGGAAGTGGTTCAGTCCTATCTGAAGCTTTTGCAGACTTGCTCCAATCCGGAAACATTGGAAGCGGCTGCTGGAGCCCTTCAGAACCTGGCGGCTTGCTACTGGCAGCCAAGCATCGAGATTCGTGCAGCCGTGAGGAAGGACAAAGGACTTCCAGTTTTGGTCGAGCTTCTACGAATGGAGGTACGTGATATTGTTTCTTTCATTTTGTGGGTCTTCGATGATTTTCGTAAGGACCAGGAAACGGATAAACTGGGGTTGTCCCCATTTTGGTTTATTCAGGTGGACCGTGTGGTCTGCGCAGTGGCCACAGCTCTCAGAAACTTAGCAATAGACCAACGCAACAAAGAATTGATCGGGAAGTACGCTATGCGTGATCTCATCCAGAAGCTACCATCTGGAAACAACCAGCACGACCAGGGAACGAGCGACGACACGATCGCCGCGGTTCTAGCCACTCTGAACGAAGTGATCAAAAAGAACGCAGAATTCTCACGGTCGCTGTTGGACGCGGGCGGTGTCGATAGACTAATGAACATCACCAGGCATCGCCAAAAGTACACGCCTCGTGTTCTTAAATTTGCAGGTAATGTTGACAGGATATATAACTTAGAGGAGCCTTTTGATGGTTCAGAATCTTTTGGCGGAAGTATTCATCGTGGATTTACTTCCGTTTGCAGGACAAGTCCTATTCACAATGTGGCAGCACCAAGAACTGAGAGACGTCTACAAGAAACACGGATGGAAGGAGCAAGATTTCGTGACGAAAACAGTGGCAGCGCGGAATTCAGGGCCTAATTCACCCAATAATGCAAATAGGTAATTGATCATCATCCGATAATAGAGCACCTTTTTCTTTTACTTTATATACGATTAAACCTTTCATTCATTTGAAGTATCGAATGTTTTCAGTTCTTTCTTTGCTTTCTCGGACTCTGCGATTTATTCTTGAGTATATGCTTTCTGTATTCACTTATAACTGTGTTTCATTGGTTTTGAGTTGCGCAGAGTCCGGTTTTAGTTACGAACATCGTGGCACTACGTTGAAATGTAGCTATGATTGTAGCACTCTGAACCGGCCAATGGCGAGCCAAGGGAGTACCAGATACGAGGACCGAACGATTCAACGAGCGAATATGAATTCTAATAACGTTGGTCGACCGAATATATATCAGTCTGTAAGTAACAACAACTAATGGCACCGTTGATCGACACGTTCTCTGGAATACGTTCCGTTGGTAGGATTAGGTACTGTGTTTCTCAGTGAAAGTAATTGAAAAAAAAAAATGAAAAAGGGGAACTTAAAAACACACGGATAGTGTTTGGAGCAATCTTTTGACAACTGTTTATTATTCGATTAGTATGTTTGTTTAATTCGCAGTTACCACGATTTTATTCAGAAGTGACTAATAAATGATTAAATAAAAAAAAAAGAATATCAACAAACGTCCAGGAAAGATGTTACAAGAGTTAACGAAAGCGGGGTATTCAACGACAGTGTGATTAAACCCTAGAACAGGTTTTTCTTTTGCAAATTGTGTCTTCCTCTTGTCAGTATAAGTGCAGATTATCTATATCTACAGATGAGATTCTATATATACACAATTTTTTTGTTTAAAATTGTATTAGATTTGTACACAGAGATTGATTTTGTTGTTTTCTCTTTTTTGTTAATTTTTATATCATATATATATACATACACACGAACTCATACATACACAGAGAGACACCTGCATTTTCGTATACGAAATGCTTTTGCGAATAATTACGAGAGATATATCGTATATATGTATGTATGGACGATACGATCATAATAATCATTATGACGCCTATAATAACCATGACACTTTATTTATAATATTTATCCGCTTGTACGAGGAATAGACAGAACCCGCGGTATCATTAGAACAGAAGAGTATGTAAACGAGCGTGGAAAAACAGATTAGTTGTGATAACAGAGAATGCAGTTACTTAACGAACATTTATAAGTGTATAAACTAAGTCAATTAACGAGTACCAATTATTACCGTGTTTTATGCTATGGAACAGCATTCGCTAGTGCAGTATTACTGTAGATTGCGCGCGGTACGCATAAAACAGTCCATTGAATTATCTAACAATTTTTACACCAGTAATCTACACTTATATAACAATACGAGGTAGGGAAAAAATGCAACCGTGCACGGCGCATGAAATATATCGTCTTCTGTAAGTTTTCAAGAATGCCCTTTTTCAATCGCACAATCTTTGTTCCACCGAGGTGTTTGATATAAATATTTCACGTTATCCGATGCAAATTACTCTCATCGCGGCACTCGCGATATTTTTGATTTCCGAAAAGAAAATCTTCAAAAACTGAAAAGACTTTGGTATACACGCAGACTTTTATATAATAAGATACGATGGGACAAGTCACGCTGTAATAAATGAAGACTTGCGCGCGCGCGCGCAAAAGCGAGAACCTGTCTGGTTCAAGTTCACACAGAGTGTAGAGCAACAATCTCTTTTTTTCACAATTGAATTTATTCGCTATAGTCGTATTTAAGGTAGAATTATACCTGTGAAAGTCCAGTTAGTAATGTTTGATACCCAAATGGATCGCAATGATCCAACGTCTGTCTTCAAAGGCATTTTATTATGTATGCCGTAGGCTAGCAAGAACGAGTACGAGTCTATGCACTCTAATTATTACATATACAAAAAAAAAAAAAAGAGTTAAAACGTCAGATTGTTAATATAGCGTTGAAGTATGTCTTGCATAATTCTATGATTGTATAAGGAAGTAGGTATTACAGGACCAAATATTTGACATTTTTCATGACCAGGGAGCACATCCAGCCAGACTACTCTCATAACGATCGTGAGAATTTTCTCTTCACTCGAAACAATCAGTTGAAAAATTGACAAATATAACTCACAACGCATCCGGGATAAAGTTAGAAGCTCTGTTTTTTCAATTTTCATCCGGGTAACGCTTATGACGAACAGTTGCAAATTCTACCTAGACTAATTTGAAAGAAGTGCATTACGTTTCGAGGAGAAGGCTGATGTTTGCTACCCCCAATTAACAATAATTAATAAACAGTTAACATAGAAGTAGCAAGAGTGTATTTACTTGTTTGACAAGATTCCATAAAATCTCTGTTTTGAAAATGGTATATAGAGAATTAGAACACCTCGTTTCGACTCGTTACCTAAGTGATCATAGTCTATATCCCGAGTACAGTAAGGAGTAACATTGAAGTGCAAAATAAAGCGGAATCTATAACCCAGTCGATTGATATATATATATATATATATGATTCGATGAGTTCACGTAATCAGGGTAATGTACAAGCACAAAACCGAGAATCTCTTTGAATTGACACTGTGTGACAGGTTCTTTCTCAGAGAATAAATTAAAAATTCATACACGTCGTGTTTTAAAAACAACAGTCTCGTAGAATCACAAAGCAACAAGGATAATTACACCAGGACGAGCTGCTAATTTGTCGAGGCAGAGTTGTTACGATATAAGTTTCTTTATACACACACACACATACACACACAAACGCAAACATACCCATTGAAGAACCTTTATTGTACGAGAGAAAGGCTAGACGCACCACAAAAGCATGGTTTATACTGACACGTTGACTATTGCACGTACTTATTTATAATCTATTTATATCAAAAATTAATCGAGCATAATAAAAAGAGTATCTGACAGTATGTACCGACCAGATTCTATACGTAATTTTCTGCAACAGCCAACAGACGATTTAACGAAATCCATGTGTATCGTGGGTCCAATTGCTTCCAAACCGGTTGTGTGTGTGACTTCCGACACCTTAACCTCGCCTCCCTCATCCACATGATATTCTAAATCCACCACCATAACCATCCCATGCACAAGCATCAGTTACTCTGCGACTAAAGATGACAACATGAACAAGTTCCATGTACATAGAAGAATCGGTTATGCAAGCAAGCAAGCACGTGTGTTTCTATCCCTCTGAATCCGCGAACGATGATCGGAAGGTGTGCCCCGCCGGGCCCTATCCCCTGCACCCCCTGGTACAGCCCACCCCCGAACAAAGACACACGCGTCGTGCCCACCCCCCGGCCAGATGATGATGAATCAGATTTGAGTCGCTGGCGCGAAACTAACCGTTGGCTTGTGTGTGTTGCAGCAACCGAAACCCGGTGAGCCGCTCTACGCGCAAGTTAACTTGGAGAAGAAAAAGAAGCGGCAGTATGAGCTGGGGGTTGGCCAGGGACAGGGTCAGGGCCCGGTAGGTTCTGGTGTGGTGGGCGCGCTGTCGGCCGGCGCGCCGAACGCCGCCGGCCAATGGGTGGCCGACGGCGGTGTGGTCGGTGTCCCGCCGGACGGCGGTTCGGCCGCTACGTCGACGGTGAACGTACCGCCGAACTCGACCGTGGCTTCCGCCGGGGACTCGTGGGTATAACAGGGTCTAGGAGAAGATATGCCTGCTGGAGAACCCACCAGAGGGTGCTCGAGTGTTAGCCTTCCCCCGAGCCTGTACGCCGAGGTCGTCATCGGAGGAGGATCGCCATGGATAACCAATGATGTATGGGATGAAGAGGGATAGGGGGTGGAGGATGGAGCAAGATATTTTGTTCTACGCGCCTGTTCTGATCTCTCCTCGATAGATATCGCGTCTGAAGACTGGAAAGAGAGAAAGGGGCATTACAATGGACCTGGAAGAGAGAGGGGGAGGGTGGGAGGACCGGGTTTTCTTGTTTTGATTCTTTCGTTGCACACGCCCCTGGCGAATGGTCCACGTTGTTAGAAGAGTATATATTGTGACAGAGAGTAGCCACGTGTTCGGATGTACAGAGCTGGAACAGCTTCTCAGAGGGAATAGGAAGACTGAGAATATATAGAAGGGTACATAGAGATATATGTATGTTAGAGAGACTTAAACGGGGCGCGATCTCGGACGCTTCGCGTCGACTTTCTAGAGTCAACGATCTGTCCAGAGATATTCTTTCGTCTGGGGGATTCCGTCGACTGTCTTTATGATGTCACTAGAGGACACACGGTCGTCGTGAATAATAGTTGCACCACAGCAACTCCCAACCCCCCCAACGCCACGTTTTTTTCGTGTGTATAGTAAGTGGAAGCGACTTGTCCGACCACATCCGCAGCAGTAGTCGCACTAATGGCTCTAAACCTTCATTGCACAATTCTAAATTAATATATATATATATATATATACATATTATAAATACTATACATATATGTGTATGTATATTTCAAGAGGGTACTCGAGATGGTGTGAGTACCAGCATAAAAGTACTATTAAGATTAAGTAGACGGTATTATTAATATTACTATTATAAATACAAGGAGGGTATAAATGAATTATATATATTATACAGATATATTATACACCACGTACACACGATACACTCATACATACATACACACACACTCACGTAGACATATATCTCGACTATGTACTACTATTGTATTGTATTATGGAAACTTCTGAGGCTGTGGGTGTGGCATATATACACATACGAGGATGCCGAATATATTTGCGAGCTGCACTTTAATTTTCTTTTTCCGGTTTCGAGAGTGAAAGAGAAAGAGAGAGAGAGAGAGAGAGAGAGAGAGAGAGAGAGAGAGAGAGAGAGAGACAGGGCGAATGAAAGAGATCGAGCGTGTGCAATCTGTGTGTGAGTCTACTATTACTATTCGTCTGATACTGTCCAATAAGCGACAGAGGAGGGAGGGGGTTAGAAATAACCACCTCCCCCTCCTCTCCGTCGAAAGAGCCACGTTGTCAATAGGCGGGAAAAACGCCGTTAAAGTCTGTTGAATGAGAAGAGAGAGAACAAGATTAAGAAGAAGACAAGAAGGAGAAGTAAGGAGGATAAAAGCTAGAGAGATGCTCGAGATCGTTTTTGAACTGTCGTGAACACGCAACGAGGATGACCGGTAACCTAACCGTGAGCGTGAGCGACACAGGATCGATGAAAGGGACGACAGAAGGAGAGTATGTGATGTTCAATGTTATCGAATGTTTGACAGAGATGACATTATTGATAGCCGATATACATATTATATATATATATATACATATATATTATATATATACAAATAAATATATCCCTGTTCTATTTCTTAAATAATATTATTACGACAGTTGAATCGAGTGTGTTCGCGGATGATTTAATGGAGAAAGTATAAACACCAATCAATGGAGGGAAAACGAATCCCATACGAGATACCATAAAGTTTCTTGTAAAATTCAGAATTCTATATATATATATACATGTATTAATTAACAGACACGTATTATGTACGCACGTCGCGATCCAAGGACGATCGATCCTGTCGATCGTGTCTCACCCGGTCCAAGTTCTTCATCGATCCATGGTTCTCGATCACCGTAGCTGTCCAGCGTTCTGTATATATATACATATATTCATCTTCGAGACGCGATCCATCCCTTTCATTTTGTCGGAACGATCGACGGGATCGATGTGCACACCGTAACCGCGTGAAACTGGAAAAATCGAATACAGCGAGACACACGATCGTCGACGTGCTCCGCATCGAGGAAAACTATTATCGTTGCCAGATTAATATTTGATCGATTCCGGATCTAGAGGAGTCGGCCGAGACTCGTACGATGGTTTCTGTTCTAATTACGAATTACCGTTAACACCGTAACGCTGCACAGAAGAGCCACGATATCGCGAGATAACATCGCGTGTGGATAATCGATAAAATCCACTTTGATCGAGAAGAAAAAAAAAATATTTATTCATTCATATCATATCACACTGCCATGCGGGCCACTTCTAATTGTAACGGAAGATCGTGGTCCGGGAAACGCCGATACAGACGCGTTTACCGCCCCGAGAGAGAAACGGTTTCGTCCTCGATATACATATTGAAAATGTTACGAATCAACGAAGATGAATGATGGTATTGCGATATCGTGTCTAGCGTGAGAGGTTGCTGTGTGTCCAGTGTTGATTGTAATGGGGTTATAATGGGGTTACGAGAAGAACGGATTGATCGTCAACAGAAGCGATCGTACGCCACCAAACTTGCGGTTCCGCGTGCACAGACAACGGGCCACCATTCACACGCCTCTCCGCAAATACGAGAGGCACACTTCGAGCTTATCGTTTGAACTGCTAGCAGAGAGATCCCTTTTTGCGCTCGTGATACAGCGTGATGATATGATAAATAGAGAGTGCCATGCGGCGACGTGAATAAATAGCGCGAAACCTCTTAGAGGAACCCTAGACCATTCCGCTCAAAGTGACACACCGTGGCTCCGGGATATATGTATCTTCGTGATCCTATGGATCGGTGCTTCGGGATTGTTTTTCATTTAATGGAATCGACTACTGGTGGTTCAATCTTAAACTTAAGGATAGAAACTTCGGAGAAATGATTTTTGATCCTGAAATTCAAATGGATTCTAGGGGTGTACGGTCGTTGTCGAGCACTATCTGGACTCTTCTCTTCTGTGAGATCGTCAAGGAATTGATTTTATATCAAATCGAAGTAATAAATAACATAGGTACGCACTCCTTAGACTTTACACATTTTTCAAGTGAGAAACGCTGAGATGTAAGAGCCAAGAAATTACTGTAAACATGATTTTCAATGCTTGCGATCCAAAGATGCAAAACAGAGAAAAATCCAAAGAGGAAAGATACAGAATTACACTGAAAACCCGAAGAACGATTCCCGGGAGCGACCGAAGAGACGATTTTGTTCGACGATCGAGAAGATCCCTCAGAGGAGATACGATACACGAGATTTTCCGAAAGAGTTCCGTGTTTTATCGTCGGATCATTCGTAGCGCCTGGATATCCTCGCACCTGGAGGACCGAAGGATCCAATGTAGCCGTCAGGATCTATAATGAACGAACCGAAGATTTTGATATCCGCTTTTTATCGTTTATGCGTAACCGGCGTTTCTAATTTTTTACGAAGATTCACGAGAAACTGAAGAAAAAAAAAACTACCAGAGAACGCGAGAGAGTGGGATTTTGTAAAAAAAAAAAGAAGAAAATAGTTTGTCGAACGAAGCGTTCTAGAAAAATCAAATAATGAAAAAAAAAAAAGAGTCGAGAAGAGCGTGGAACGACCGTAAGCTGATCAAGGAACGAAATTCGAAAATTGTTATATAGAGGAATTCAATTTTTCACGTACCTTTATACAATTTTCTAGTTTTTGACATTCTGTACTCACAGAATGTTTTGTAATATTTTTAACTCTTGTTCATTCTATAATCGATGATCTATCAATCGACACAGCCATTGCGGCGAACGAATCTTCGATGTTTTGTGTTTCTCGTGACCAGTTTCTTTTAAAACGAAACAACGTTCTCCCTTCCTTTGACAAACGAAGCGATTTCTTTCTTTTTTTGTCGAGACGCGACTCAGCCTACGGTTCTCACGGGGGATGAAAGCTACGCGCATCCGTCAGAAGTTTTAAAGACGGTGTTGCGTTTTACTAGGGCGATTTTTACGCTGTCTTTTACACACGTTTTTCTCGCCGGCCTAAGGGAACCAGAATGGCGAACAACGATCGATGGCGATCGCGATCATATTCGCAACACTTTTTGCTTTCTCGCAAGCAAGGGATGAAAATCAAACTCGATTCTGTATGATCGCGACACGATTCAGTTGAAAATATCCGTAGTAATTATACAGTTAACGATATAATCCTCGATACATTTGTAACCACTTTCGTCCTTTTAATATTTTTATTTTCTGTTACACTTCGCGATCTATCGTGAATTCGTGACTGAACTTTCGCTGCAAAAGCAGTTCCATAGCGATCAGGTTTGATTCCCACCCCCGACAAACAGGAAGTCTTCACCCCTCACACCATCAAACGATCATCGTCACCGGACAAACCCGAGAAGACTGATAGCGTTAAAATCCGAGTGACTCCGTCAGGCCACTCGCATCATTCGAACTTGAAGAGGAAAACGAGCACAAGAATACCAGGGAATATAGCAGAGAAGAGGAGGAAGACATAGAAGAAGAACAACTGGCGAAAGTATCCCATAATAGTGAACGTTGTCGTCGAGGCAAAACTTGCCCACTACGAGGGAGACAAAGAGACGACGTAGATGAAATGAAAAAAACTCTCACGTATTTCACAAATTACATACGTACACGTATACATACATACATACACGTACACATGCCCCACATAAGACACGTGCATAACGAATAGAAAAAACAAAACGATAGGCTACAGTGCTGCATACGTATTTAAATTAAAGGAGCATTAAATAAGCATGGATGTGCATTTTAGATGTATTAGAGGAGTTTCACCCACACAATTTAGTATTAACTGTAAATCGTTGTAGTCCTACGCGAGGGAGGGGTGGAGGGGTTGATTTCCAAAAGCCACTTTTGCTTGAATAACACGAATATGGTTTCTGTAATCATTCTGTTCCTTCTAAATATAGTCAAAGAATCGATAGACTCTTTTCTGGTGTATTTTGTATTGAATCTCGGGAGATTTAGCTGTCTTTTATTTTTTGAAATTTTTTCTTTAGCAAGAAATGCGCGACGTGATTTTTATGAATTGTCTTCGTATCTTAGAATTTCGAGAGTGTTTTTCTTATTGTATTTACTGCATTCTTACGGTTTCATTGGAATACACCCCTCTGACCGGCTCCCTGGAGACAACCGCGGCGGGTATTTGTCATCGTCACGATCATTTATATCATCGTCATCGTCGTTTGATTTTATTTCAAACTCGTACCGAGTGTTTTACCCAATCTACCGACAAAGCAAGTACTAAAAAAAATGAAGTAGGGTAATTATAATGTATTGTAATTCCGTTAAGACGGGGGACGAAGAACAAACATACTGTCATTATTTTATCGACGTCGTATTATTTATATCGGAGGAGTACCACGTATATACAATAATTATTAACGATAAAGAAACGAACAAAAAAAAAGGAAACCAGACAAGATCGACTAGTGTATTTCGAAACCCGACTGACAACAATTAAAGAATTTAATTGCGCTGAACATAGGGCGGCCGTCGTTTATTACTTCTTCCTCCTCTTATCCTTCAAAATCATTTCTCCATGGTTTATCGATCTTTCACTAAAGAAAAAATAACACAAATCACCGTGCTTTCGTTACTTTTCCGATATTCCCCACTTCTTCCATTTCGTTGATTCATGTACACTCACGGAAATGGAATCGAAGGTCGTTCGTTCTCCTGCAGAGACCCTTTTTTTTCATACGGATAAACACCAAAGAAGAAACACGAAAGTACGTGTGGTATGTGTTCGCCGACCGGAAAACCACGTTGGCTGTGTAACCGTCGTCGATTCCACCGTGGATAATTGTTAATTAAGAAACGGATTGCCGGGCGAATTGTCAATTTGCAATCGTGAAAGGCGGGTCCCTTCTGGCGTTGTCGAATGAAACAAACCTACTTCCCCACTTGGCCGTATTCATAGATAGGAATTGTCGCGCCGCGAGTTCGTTTTTCCGCGTGCACGCGTAGTCGCCATTTTGAATGTTCTTCCTCAACGTACTCCGTCATCGGAACACATTTGATATTTTTTTCTCTTTAAATCATTCACTCTAGAAATCTGCATTTCTTTTACTTCAGAAGCGCACACCATAGGATTCGTTTTAATATATATCTTCGACGAAATGTACAAAGGAACGGGCCCCGTTGGAAATTGATAGAGGAGATCGATTCGATTCGACGAGGGGCGATGGAAGGAAACGCGTTAAAGAAATGGGAACGCGCGATAAGGGCTGGACTCGATGATTGTATTTTAACAAGAAAATCCTTACGGTTCGATGAACACCAGCACCTGCACACCGCGTGATAAGAAATCCAGACAGCACACGCACGCGCGCGCACACACATTTCGCACAGAGTGGGTTCCACTGGAGCGACGGTCTCTCTCGGTGTGTGTCGTTGCTTCTTTTAAATCGACGATTCTCGCGAAACGGGAATTCACAGATATGTAACAATCACGAAATATCATTGCTATTTTACGAGCGAAAAATCACTAGTCGAATATAAACGACGTCTCCATCGAACCATTATGCATTCCGTTGCCTGGATCATGTTAATTTGCTTCGAGATTTAATTCAGTTACCGAAAGCTATTTACCGGGCGATCTATGTATCGTGGAAGTAAAGGGAGTGGTTTCCACGTGTAAAAATTAAATAAAAATCAAGAATGACGAAATCCGTTTGGAGGCTTTGTCGAGTTATTAACACTTATTAACAAATCCGTAAGGAAGACCACTGCACTTATGCACACACAATAAATACTAAATGAAATTAGCTTAAACCAAAACTCGCGGATACATAAATCGTTACTATTAAAGAAAAATGTAGATGCTCTTTATTCCGCGAACGACTAGATGTGTCCGCGATGACGACTGCCATCGAACTAAGGACACGGTTATTCGAATCGCATTCAAAGGACAGAAAGGTAATAAAATGGTGTACCTATATACCGGCCAAGAACAACATCTGATGGACAAACCAAGACGAGGTGGTCGGGCGTTCGAGAACAGTGGGGGGTGGTGCGGTTTCTAACCCCCGACTTCTTTTTTTTTTGGTTACCAACTTGAAAACAAAGCCTTCGATACAAAATTTTGTCCTTCTTGGATATTCCGCTTTCTTTTTCGTTTCTCTTAAAGTTTTTGACACGAAATTTCGTAAACCTAAAATAAACGTATCGGGCCGAAGTGAATCTGTCAAGAGACCAAGCTTACTCTTGCTTAATTTTTACGTTTCACAGCCGGTGTTCCCTGTCGGAAACAAGTTAAAAAGATGTAATGCGTTCGGTGCTCGAACAGATTTCATTTGAATCAATCCGTAGCCCAGTTTCCTGTTCATTTCACACCCCCATTGAACGGGTCACGGCGTCCCCATGCGCAACGGGAGAGTCTTCTCGCTTTGTGGAACAACCCCGTGGAAAGGATGCTGCCGCAGTTCGACGTCGACCAGCTGAAACATTGGAGGTCCTGAGGGACTTTCGCAGGACCACGTTCTCGGGAATTAATATTCCTGTTACACACTGTCTTTCGAATTCTCTAAAACAATTAAAATATTTAACTGCCGGTCGATAACATAAAACAGCCGAAGCTAGTACCAAAAGGATATCTTCGTTTTGGTTCAAATTGAAATTCAAAGTGTACCCCGTGTTACGATTCTCGTTTGCTGATTCTCGGTGAAATAACGCTTATAATATCCGTAAGAAAAACGTCGCGCGATCTTTTTCCCGAATAAATTCCCCGCGGTTATAAATCACAATTAGTTTTATATAATATAATAATTCAAACGTGTGCGCGATGACGGACGCGGTGAACAGCGACAAAGTGTCCACCGGGTCGTCTAGAAAATCATTCGATTCGGCGAGGAAGGAAATGCGCTCGATCGTGGCCAGAATCGAGGCGACAGGGTTGACGAGCAGGAGTCTGAAGCTGCTTTACGCGCGGTCCTTACTGAGGCCAGGAGGATCGAAGATCCGCAGGAGACACCTGTGGATCCTGTTGATCCTCGCGTGGTGCCTCGGACAATATTTCTGGAATTACGTACGAGCCGCTCGTCACGACAGAGTGAGTAACATTAGAAATTAAGCTGGTGATAGGAAGTAATTGTCCATTGAATTCGTCGACTTTCAAGATGTTTTCTATACGTGTCCAGTGATTCCATTTTAGCGATGTCGCGTTAAAAATGTTGCTTTTTTCTTTCAAGTGTCTGGCGGAGCTACCCCCCGTCACGCAGAAAATTTTCCGGCCAGCGGAAGATTGCTCGATTTGCCGGGACGTTCAACAGGTTGACAGGATATCGAACGTCGCTCCAGGGACTTTCGAGGAACGGTATACCCGGCTCTCGTCCAATTTGCCCGATCGATTTTTCCTCGTTCGAGGGATCTTTATACGGTCATTCCTTTCCTATTCCGATCACATTAAATTTTGCGTACTATATAATTCGAATAGCCACCCCAAAATTCGATTCTTCGACGAAAGACTTTGGGGATTTTTGGTTCGTCTTGATTTTTGAACCGATCAGGCTAATTTCTGCCAAGCTTATTGAATCTATTTTCGACACTAGTTACGCATATTCTGGGAGACCTGTCGTGATCACCGACGCGATGACGAATTGGACAGCGCCGACGGTGTTCTCGTTTTCGTTCTTCAAGTCTTTGTACGACGGGGAGGGCGGTAATTGCCAGTTCTTCCCGTATAAAACTGGATTCAAGAGTCTTCAGGACGTTTTCGATATGAGCGCCAGTAGATCGTTGCTCGAGAAGGGAACGGAACCGTGGTACGTCGGTTGGTAAGTGGATCGTATCCCCAACCCGTAACTGATCGGTTTTCACCGTTCGTAATCGCTCAATCTTTTCGTGACGGCAGGAAGATGTTCCGAGTATCGAATGATAAAGACAAAATACGACTGATATTTTACAGGAGCAACTGCGACGAGAAAATCGGAAGTACACTCAGACAATACTACCAGCGACCTTACTTCCTTCCCTCGACCGCGGAGAGCGAGAAGACCGATTGGATTTTCATGGGAAGCCACGGCTACGGAGCTCCGATGCACGTGAGTATCCATCGTTTCAATTTCATAATCGTAACGGTGTACAATCATTCCCTTCTTGTGAACGCTCTGTTTCTTCGTTTGTATTCTCCAGGTGGACGACGTGGAGCATCCGTCGTGGCAGGCACAGATAAAGGGGAAGAAACTATGGATACTGGAGCCGCCGCGGGAGTGTCATTACACCTGCAACAGGCTGGAGATCGCGGTGCAACCCGGCGAAATAAGTAGGTCCATCAGAGTCAGAGTGGAATGTTATACAGAGTGTCCCTAACAGATGGATAAAGGATTTTTCGATTTGTATTTGTATGAGGAATATGCATGCTGCAGATTCTCCCATTTTTTTGGGACACTCTGTATATTACTTCAAGTTCCGTGAACAGAGAGCTGCCGTGGCTTCACAGAAAAGTTTCTTTCAACTTGCTTTCTCTCTCTTATGGCGTAATTAACCTCGACGTTGGAAATCATTGCCAAAACATTAATCAGACGATTCTTTGTTTCGTTCGTTAGTTGTGCTGGACACGAATCGCTGGTACCACCAAACCAGAATCATTTCGGAAGAGATGAGCATCACTATCGGAGCCGAGTACGATTAAATGAAGAAACACCGACTCGACACGGAAACTCTGTTATTATATAATATTCTCGGTACACACTATATTTTCGGATCGCTGATATTTCCCCTGTGTCATGCAGAAGGACCATTAAAACTAATTTGTAATCGATGTAAATTGTAAAAAAACCGAGGAATCCATAAAGCTTTAGTTTCAAACCGACTTCGTATCGTATCGACTATCGCTTTCCCCCACTGTCGATCCTCGTACCGAAGAAGACGTTAAAAAGCGCTACCCGACAATGACTCGGCCGACCCGGATTTTACGTTCGAGCAGTTGATCGGTTTCCTCTCTTCGAGCAGGCCTCCAACGGCTGAGCACGCGCCACCGCCGTCATCGTCAGGTATAACATATGATCGGGGGCACACGCGCGTGGATTCCCGTCCGTGGCCCGTGAAGGGGAACCCCCGCGGCAGGGACCACCTGCCGCCAGGTGCGAATCCACGAGACATCTGCATGAAGGGGGCCCGTGCCCGTTTCCTTTTCACTATATTCCTCCACAATTCCCGGCGATTAACCTTACTGCACTACGCTCTGCTCCGTTGCCCCGGCGTATTTAGGTGTGCCTGTCTCTCTGCTGGTCTCTCTGTGAGCCTGGGTCCCATTAACGAAGGAGATAATTGGTCGAAAACCGATTGGGTTTGCGATTCGTTGTCCCCGTGAACATGGACATTCGGTGAACAGAGGTAGGGCCACATGGGTCCATTTATTATTATTATTTTTTTCCATTGAATGGACACTACTTTGAAACTTACTACATTCTCTAAATAGAAAGGGGGTGGGGGATTCATTTGTGGTTTTTTGAAAACTTAAACTTTAAGGAGCACGAATATATTTACTATCTGACCGGTGTAATAATATAGGCGCCGGGAGAGCCACGAAATAATTATAGATATCGATTGTCACGCGGGGTAGTGTGCCCGGTGAACACAGAGTGTGTGTGTGTGTGTGTGTGTGTGTGTGTGTGTGTGTGCGCGTGTGCGTGCAAGTGGCGTTCTATATTTAATGGATAGGTGAGTATACATATAGGTGGTCGCAGAGGCGTGCTTACGAGCCAATTATCCACGTTACGTAAAGTTCTTTTTGTTTTGGTTTCTTTAGCAGACACTATTCGAACACACCGATCCTTTTGTAACGTCTGCATATCTATACTTAACTCGTTGTTATACGTTTGTGGTATGGGGTTCGAGATGAAAAACAAAACACGCGAGTGAATTTAATCAAACGATTTTTTTAAATCTCTAATTAATTCTAAATGCCTTGAAATACGAGAAACATTCATCGAGATCGTACCGAGATCGATAATGCGTTCCCGTGGACGAACAGTCAGTCATTGATGGCGATACCGTAAAAACTACAGGAAACACATGTTCTCCAAGGGGTAGCCGAACCGAAGGAGTCCCTCTTGCCCCCTGCTCCTGGGGGGCTATTTCCATTTTCCATCCTAATTACATTCCACGCAACGGTATGTCGGGTAAAAAGTGGGATGGACGCAACAAAATCTCGTTAATTCATAAAAATTCTTCGTTCGTCTCGCGGCGGTCTTTTTGCCCAGCGAAATTAAAACCAGCCCTGCGGTCGAACGTGATCGATAGTACGACGGGAATTGTTGCTGTGCGCCGGGTGATCCGAAATATCGAATGAAATTAACCCTGAAACAGTAACACGATGTGCCCGATGGTGACACCGTCAATATTTTCAATTCGACCTTACAAATATAATCGAGCGTGCAGAGATGCGGAATTTACTATATACCTTCCGGGTTAATGTAGTAAATCACCCTTATGCTGCTGTATCTAGTATAAAAGATGCACTTTCTTTGAGGATCGACAATTGTCGATTCGAAAGAAAGACAATTGTACGCCACGTATACCACCGTTTAAAAAATGAACTCGACAGATGAAATGAAATTCCTTCAATTGGATAAGATATCTAGATCTCGAAATCGAGATTTCGTGGGGGTTTGTTCACTCCCCCTGTATGATGCCTAGCGACACAGTTTCGGGTGAAAATGTTCAATGGCGGTCAATGCGATAGAGAACGCACCGATGACCGCTGACCGATGCCTATAATGGTCCGTGTACAACGTGTGTACCTAAACGTACACGCGTTTCAACCCCCTACCCCCTACCCGTTGTCTCACCCCGTTTGCGGCTATGTACAAATTTCACGTACTTAGGTACATATGGTTTCCCTGTTCCTGTCTCGCTTTCTCCTGTCCAGCAACACCTACACGCGAGCCTGTTCTTCGCGCTCCTGTCTATCCCTTCAAACCCCTTCCGCCGCCAACCCCCTAACCCGCGGTTCATATACTTGCGGTTACACATAGGTACTCCGTATGTGTGATGGTCCCTCCGTTTCACTTTGCAGGAATATACATGTATACATATGTATATAGGAGGTGCTTCCAACACAGGCGAGCCTTTGTACACAATATTTTTGTCTTCCACCCCCCACAACCCCCTTCAACCCATTCTCTTTTTCGGTTTCGTACATAGTTAGATCGCATTCGATCGTCTCAATTGAAAATTATTTCCATACACGTTCTCGCGATTTTTTCTTTCGGATTATAGTTTGGTCGTTCCACCCCTTCCCACCTCTTCTATCTTCATCCCTTTCTGTCGTTTTATATCTCAACACGATGTAGCTTCGAATGCTTCCGGAAGTTTTATCGATAATATATTTCCATACGGTTAATTTCCTTAGGGTTTTTGCGGGGTGCAATTTTTTCGACTCTCGCCTTCTCCTTCGTTTTCTTCGTGCCACCCTCTGCCCGTTCCACGATTCGATACGCGTGGTCACGTCATGCGAGATTGTCTCTCCCCCGATCGGGCTATATATATATATAAATGTTATTTTCATACGTTTCGACACCCTATTCCCTGGCCCCCTCCCCTTTGACTTCTGCGTTTTCTCTGCTCACGCCTACGCGTCATGTCACTTTCGTGCGTGCGATACGTAGATACGAAGGTGCGCGGTTCATTCTTATTCCCTTTCTTCTCTCACTTTCACCGGTTCCTTCCCCTTCCTTCTTCGACCCCGGTCTCTTCTTTCATATTTACGTAGAAAATCTTTGCGAGCTGTTTATTATTAGCAACCAACCCCCTCCTGTTCTGTATGTACAGATCTTCCATCCACGTTTTCCCAACTCCCCCACTTGTGACTACATTTTTCTTTCAGACATACAAACAATCTAATCTATTGTTATTTGCGCGGGTGTATTAACGAGTCTTATCCAGTTCCCTTCGGTAGGTGCCGTATATGCAAATTTTATGTGGCCCCGCTCGGATTTTATCTCTTCCCCCAGCCCCTACCCGCTTCCCTGTTTATAAATAGAATTTCCACAACCCTGTTAATAAGTAGAGTGGTTCCTACCAACGAGCTGTTCTATACAGGCTTCAATTTTACACAAATTTGTTCTCTCAAACCACATATACGTACGCGTATCTCTTTCGGCCATGCTGAAAATGTCCTCGAATCAACCTAATCTTTCTTCCGTCTGCCCCCCACCTGTATCTTTTCGCAAACTTTACCCATTCTCGAATCGAGTGTCCATTTCACAACTGAACTTTCTAACAATCTATCTACCTATTGTACACAAATACACTACACTCGAATTAAGTCTTCTACCCCCTTCCCCGTCTTACTTCCTCAGATCCATTTTTTAAATATATACACGATCAATTCAACCCCAGCGCGTACTCCTTCACCACGTTCAATCCCCCCTCCCATTTGTTCGAAACCACGCGCGAACTTCAAAACCAATCGAACACCCCCACGTTCTTTCTCAAAATTGACTCGAAGTGGCATTTTCTTTACCACTGTTGTTCAAACCCCCTCGTACAAGTGCCCTTCCTTTCACCCCCTACGCTGCTATGTGTGCCTCTCGCTTCCGTGTTTACGGCAGCACACACACAGTTTCTGTGTACAAAGACTGACCACGCCACCACCACGTCTCTCGTCCACCCTCCCTCCCGCCCTTCCTCAAGCAACCCTCTCATAGTCATATCCCCGTTCGCTCACGTGTAACCACACACGCGGTTCGTACATAGCGTCTATGTACGCGCACGCTCTCTCTCTCTCACTCCATCCCCCTTTCCCTCCCTCTTTGGTACATACATATCGGTCGCGGTATCGATTATTTTACCCATGTGGAACTTTCCCCTATCCCCTGGTCGTCCCCACTCGGCGTCGCGACGCCCGGTATAGAGCGCCGATATCGACGTTACATCGCTTCGCGCAACTCTCCTCCGTTGGCCATCCCCCTCCACCAGGCGACCGTCCGCCTCCGACTTGAACGCCAGGACCGTAGAAAACCGGTCGTTCTGGGCACCTCGTTTTCTCCGCAGCAGGTCGGGAGAGAGAGATACGAAAAATTAATTACAAAGAACTATACGATCAAAATGAAAAAAGAATCGCGATCGTAGTTTTCCAACTATTTGGTGTCGATATACGTACCCAGTGTATCGATACAGTTGTATATTCTCAGGTAACAGTGTGGAAAAGAAATGGAAAAGAACGGAAGATCGGTCCATTTTCCTTACGATCTGTTACACGTTATGACAAATAGAGCGATTGTATAAAAAATTTCGATACATCTGAATTAAGTATCGATACTGGATATACATATATCGTCGCATTAAATATCCTTACGAAATATCGATATTTGAATTGAAAAGTATCGATGTATTCAAAATATCGATACTGTATCGCCCCATCACTAGTCTCGTCTTTGTCGGCTCGCTGGGGCGCGACGCGTTTTTTTATTTCTTCTTGCTCGACTTCACCGGCCTCGATGTATGGTATATACGTACACCCCCGATATCGATTTTATTTCCTCGCCGATGGATTTCGTCTGGGGAACGTTCTCCCGATGTTCTACTGAAAGAAAAACCCTTACACACACACACACTACGTGGTTCCACGCCGTGGAGAAACCATCGAAGAACGAGATCGCATGATCGATGGGGATTCCTCAGCGG